AACAGAAAACATCCCCGTCTCCTTCTCCGGGCTCTTGGCCCTGCCTTGGGGTCTCCAGGGAAGAGCCCCATTCGCCTCCCAGGAGCCCCCAAATGACCCTTCCTATCAGGCAGGCCAGGGAAAGGGGCTCATGGGGTCCAAGCAAGGGGCCACGCCCTCAGGCCGGGGCGGGGCCGGGGCAGGGCGCTCCCAGCTGCCTACTTATCTCCTGCACCTTCCACCTGCCTTTCTAGGGCTGTCTGTCTGTCTGCTCTAAACCACCCTCGCTCCCCTACCCTGGGGGTGAGAGAAGATGAACAGAGGCGAGCCTGCTCAGATCCCTGCAGTCTAGAGTCTACCAGTCTGTCTGCTTGAACAGCAACTGCCACATAACATGGAACATTCACAGCCACTGTCCTTGTAGTTACAACCCAGGATCACACCATCTGCGGTTCCGGCTTGGCTCACTCTCGGAGCATGCTTTCCTGAGTTGTTTAGACTAGGAATTCTCAGTCCTACTGCCCCATAATTCCTTCCTCTGGGGTGGGGGTAGGTGTGTGGTGGGAGGGTGGAAGGAGGCCACTCGAGTGGCCCCAGTCTTCCCAAGAACACCTGACGGCTCCCTACCTCCCAAAGCAGCGTGGTCAACGCCAAGAAAGGAGCTGGCTGGGTCCTCTCTAGGACTACACCTGCCGCACTCAGTACGGTCCCCAGGCTCAAACCCCACGCAGGCACAGCTGTCTGTAAAGCAGCAAGTTTATCCTGTATAGTTTCCAAGGAGGCCCCATTACTTCTCGAAGCAATGAGGGCCAGTGGCGACATACATCCCCAGGCCGAGCTGCAAGGGTCTCCCGGTGAACCAGGGGCCACGTCCCGATCTTCCCCTCCAGCAAAGTCTATGCTTACACAGAAACACGTCCGACAGTCGCACATCTGCCAACCTGTCTCCTAGGAGAATGCCCATTCATTTCGACTCTCTTCCTGAAGGGCCCTGTGTCCAGTCTGCTCATTTCCATTTCACCAAAGAGACAAGTCAGAATGTTTTCCAAGTGCCCTTCAATCCATCGCTGCAAACAGATGGGAAGACCCCTTTCTTAGGAGATGGGCAAGAATGAATGCCTCCTGGGGAGGCTTCCTCCAAAAAGCTCAAAATATAACTGTAATAATGAGCGCATTTTATTTTGCAGGGAAGGCCCCGGGATGTGTCCACGTGTTACAGATGGGATACAGGTGGGGCCCAGAGACGTCTGGGGCTGTGGGTCAGGCAGCACAGTAAACATCCAGGACTGGGCTGCCACTGGAATGGTTCTCCAGAGAGTCCCTCTTCTCCGTGGGAGGCAGTCCTGCTCCTTGCGTATGGGCACACACCCGTCAGCGTCTCTGGGCCTCCTGTCTCCCCACCTGTTAAACAGGGCAACTCCCTGTGTTCCTCCCAGGGAACCGACAGGAGAAATGGGACCCTAAATGTGGCGTGCTCTGAATGTCTCAGAAGGAAGGTACTCGATAAACTCACGGGCGCTCTGATCATGCTGCCCGTTGAGCCGCATCCTCACCATGGGAGCAAGGGCTCAGTGCTGAAGGGGTGGGGCGTGGAGGGGGGTGCACAGGTTCAAGTCCTTTCCTCTGTCCAGCAGTGGTTTCCCCGCCGTGCCTGGGGAGGGGTGCGTCACGCCCAGCCGGGTTCCGCGCACCCCGCTGAAAGCAGCAGCCCACGGAGCTGGGCGTTTGAGGCGAAGCCAGCTGTCAGTCACCCATCCTGGACAGAGACTATTCTAGTTCGCGAGGTGTGTGGGCTCTCCCGGACCCCAAGGGAGGGGCCGTGTCAATCAGTCCATCCACCTGCCTCCAGAACTGAGGCGTTCACGGGACGTGGATCTCTCCAGTCCTGGGCGGACTGGGGCAGCTGGTCACCATGCTGGTGACTACACGGTGTGACCGATGGAAAGTGCTTCTGAAACTGTTTCCTTGGGCGTCAAGAGACGTGCTCTACCTCCTGGGCGGCCAGGCCACACAGGACCTTCTCATGCCTGGGGGCATCTCATGCTTGAGCCTCTCCTACCTGGGGGTCTTGAAAAGCTGGTCCCCGTCTCTGACAGGGACCTTGAGCACACATGGAACACGTCCTCTCAACTCAGCAGGCCACAGTGGAGCCCCCGAGGAGCCAGGGAGCGGGGCCTGGCCTGAGGCTTAGGGGAGCCACTGGTCTAGACCTGTTTTGCCCAAGCCACCTGGATTTATCAGATGAGCATGGCCTCCCGGCCAGGCCCCCTGGTATAACCCTTCCATTAATTTACTATTCGATGGGAAATTACTCCTCACCCAGGAATATAAGTTTTCATCTTATTTTAAGTTAGATTCTTAAAGCAATTAACAAGGCATCTGGCGATGACTTCACCGCTGTGGCCGGGCCCTGGAGCGGAGAAGGGCCGCCCTGAAGCTGCACAGACCCCTGGCTCCAGGCCCCCGCGGGGAGTTCAGGGGGAGCCGGGAGCCCCTAGACACCTGTCCTGGGTCCTGGGAGGGAAGTGGGGGGCACGCTGTAATCTCGGATATTTGCCGTTGATGGAAAAACGCCTTTCCAGCACCACCTGCCCCGTGAACCTACTGGTGACAGTTGCTGAAAAGCCCCAGCAGCTGGTGCCACGGGAGCATTTTCTATTTTTAATTGTTTGATCAGAATATTAACTCATCTAGGTCCGTTCCCAAGACACGCTTCCCAGCCAGAGGGTTTCCCCCATTTCCCAGACCTTCCTCTCTCTCTCCCTCTCTAGTCAGAAATCAACTTTGAAATTTAATAATTGGAGACACAGACCTTGGTGGGTTTGCAAAGGATCAGGGCACTGGCAGCAGGGAGGGGAGGCGGGGAGGAAGTAGGGGCTCCTCACCCAGAGGTGCCCCAAAACGGACCTCTGCTCTTCTCTCTGAGCCACTGACCCGAGGCTCCTGGGCAGCAGAGGCTGGCTCACACTTGCTTAGTACCGCCAACTCCTGCCAGAGCCCTGCTCTGCCTGGCCAAGGAGGACTCAGTCTCTCCCTCTCCCCTCTCGGTCAGCCCCACTGACCGTCGCTCGCTTGCCCATCTTGAGGGCCACGCCGAGGGGCTGTGGACACTCAGGAGGCCCCTAGGGAAGGAGGCACGTGCCCCTGGGCTCAGACGGGGTTGGCAAGAGGCTGACTTTCCTTTCAGCTTCCATCTCCGAAGGGAAGGGAGGGCAGCGTCTCTACGGAGCCCACGGGAGAACCTGGCAGAAACTCCTCTGTGAGTGCAACACCGAGGGCTCGTGGCCCAGACCCCAGCAGGAAAGCCGCACGCCCCAGCCCGAGCCAAGTGTCACTCTAGCTTGAGACAGACCACGCTGCCGGGAAGAGCCCGCCAGGCACAGACCCAAACCCTCCGGCCCCCTCGGCCCTTCCTAGGAGGTCCCCCCAACAGCCCAGGGGCTACCTGGTCTCCTTTCCCTATGCGCCCTTGGCCCCCCTGCTGTGCGCTTCCTTCTCAAGGTCACAGGGCTGTCCACGCCAGGAGTATTTACTCACCAGACCGGCCCTGTTAGCGGCACTCACCACAAATATGCTTTCTGATAAAGTTGGCAGAAAAAAAGTTCTAGAGCTCAAAACAATGTCAGAAATCATCCCCCGCCCCCACCACATGAGGGTGAGTGAGGTGAGGCCTGCGACCGGACCAGACGGCACGACCAGCCGGGAAGAGTCCTGGGGGAGGCTTTTGTCAACTCTCACGGCTCTCCTTCCTGTTTTACTTCCCAACATACAGCCTGTTGCCAGGGCACCGAGGGCTGGGGATGGTTCGAAGCTAGTGCTGGGTCTTGGCCCCCAAAGGGTGCGGCCCAGGAGCAGGGGCACTCGGAGCGGTGCTCTGCTCCCTCCGGCCAGGAGCCCACTCGGTGGCCTCTTACCTCTGCTTCTCCCCGGCCGTCTCACCTCACTGAGCCCCCTTCC